TTTCATATGCACAGACAAAATGGGAACATTTTTTGGAAAGTTGATAATGGTGAAATGATTGGCGACATGCAAATTAGCTAATTAATATGCACAGAGAGAACATAGAACTACTTTGTTGAAGATGACACGTGTTGAAATTGGAATGAGTCAGGTTATTTACTCCATGTTCACTTTTTTACAGCTGGTTTACTGCATGATCCACCAGAGGCACATAAAGAAAGTATTCTAGAATTACTGGAGGAATGTATTAACGAGACAACACCTGGTGGAAGACTGAGTGCCATTGAAGAGTTGGTCGACCTTCTGCAAGAAATACAGTACGCATGAAACTCAAACGCTGTATGAACCAATCCACTCTTCCCATAATACATCAGTGTCATTAACATAACTACTAAATACTTAACATATCGGCAACATAACATTTAAGAGTACAGAATCATAATTTCCAATTGTTCAATTTCTAATGATGAAACATACATTTATTTGTAAACGAAAATGTTTGTTTGTTTGCATCAATGTGCAGTTTTCGGTGTCAAGGTCATAAATTGTACAGCTGTATGATCAGTAGTATTGTAGACTTTAAAATTAGAGTATTATCCATGGCCATCTCGATTGAGGCTCTTGAACTCACATCAGTATTCATTTTTGCAACTATAAATGGAAAATTTTTATTTTTGTCAGCCTGTGCCAAAACCTTTGCGTAAACTCAGAATATAATAGATGAGGCAGTTTCTCTTCATTGCAAGGCCAGTATTTAGAATTTCTACAATTACTAAGTAAAATAAGAATTTGGATCAAGGTAAAAAAAAATTCAAGGTATTTCAAGTTACACTGGTAGCCATATAGTATTTTATATGCAATATATTAGCATTCCTAATTGACGATCATGTGACTGAATGTCCACCAATCAAATTTTCGTACAAAATCATTCCAGTTTACAAATGGCTAATTCAATGCGACTGTCACATGACTGCAAATCTGAACCAATCATATTGCTAGTAATTTGTTTATTCTTGTACTTGTTAGAGTCCTGATATGTTGGCTGAAAGCCCCATATTATGAACCCTTGGATGTTCTAGAAAAGTATACATCTTGTTTGTTATTTATTTCTTTAAAGTAAGGAAAAAATTACATTTTTCTTCAATCATCTGCATCAATATTTTAGATTCCATGGTCGATTTCGACAATTTTATGACTAAATCTATATCAAATTACAAGTCTTTCACATACTGTAGAATACTTTATTTTCGCTTGGAATTTATTTTCGCTGAAGGGATGATTCCGTGAAAATAAAATCCAGCGAATATACTTTTTTTCCTATATTTCACATTAAACTCATCAGAAATCAGTGAAAATAAATTCCATACAAAACGCCCAAAAAGCCTTTTCAGCGAAAATTAATTCCAGCGAAAATAAAGTATTCCACAGAAATTATAATTTCAAGAGCTTTTGTAAAATTACAGCATATCATATTGCCTGAAGTTTATACTAATAGAAATTATGTATCTGTATATCCCTTTATATTATGCCAATATTACTCGAAAAATATCGAAAAAATATACTGCCATGTACCGAATTTCCCACCTAATTGTACCATTTTATATTGTTTTTATTAGAGTATGAAACAAACATTGTACAAATATAACTTGGTAGATTTATAAAATTTTAAGAAGCCTTTTATTTAGCTATGTATTATTCAATTTATACCTCACAGGGTTTTTAAAGTCGGCGAGACCGATGATTTATAAGATAATGGAAATGAAAGTGGTCACGCGTGATGTATTTAGCAAAATGCATGACAATCGTACATTTCTAGAAATACCAACGCAAATTTTAGTCTGGGGCTATTTTATCTCCGCTGTTGACCAAGTCGAGCGGAGCTAATCATATTACCGATTGTATGACGTCGTTTGCGTCAACTTTTTCTCGCAAGTCTGATTGCACCTACATGGAGGTGCTTCAGGTGGACCTCTCTCTCTCCAATTATTAAATTTTGATGAATATTTTTGACAACCGGAAGTCTGATTGCTTTGATATATATATATATATATATCTAGGTACCTCAGGGTAGACCTCTTTCAGATTTGTTCATTTTGCGATGTGTTCAATTCTCTATTCGAAATGTGCATCGCTAACACCGGAGCGATCTCAGTCGAGAGGCTGCTCGTTATTTTTATTAGTACTTTCTCATTTGCAAAGCATGCAATTCTGAATATGTTGTATATACAATAAAACCTTTCCAAACGATGTGAGCTGCCATTGGTTAGAAACACGTTTGATGTGCATGCAGTATTGGACGTTCATTGCATATCAGCGTATACAGATATACAAAGTTGCATACCCCCATCTTGTAAATTTTTGGTGCAACGCGTCTACTAAAGTAACTTGCTAGACATCATAAAAACCATTAAGTAATTTTATCTGATTTTTACATTTGCTTAGAAGAGCACAATCAGCTCATAGAAACGTGCCGATTCTTGCCATCTAATTGTATTTTCACCGACAGACTGTCGTATTACAGAATTTCCACTATGCCGTATACACACATGCCTCTTTTCTGGGTAATTGCTTTCAATGTCCAGCAGAGCTCTTTATTTTCAGAAACTAATTAAGGTCAAATTTAAATCATCCATCATGGTAGTTGACATTTGAACCACAGCTGTGCATCTAGTAGGGAAACCATCAAAACAAATGACACCATCACAAGTTATTTTGTGGACCCATGTACTTTCAAAACTAAATTCAGCATATCTTCATTTTTTTATATGTACATTTTTTTTTAAGTTCTAAATATTTGTTGAAACTTTTATGTAACAATTTTCCTGAAACATTTTTATTAACGTCTACACAGCTTTATACTTTCACAAGTTGCATCTAAAGTGGAAATAAAAATTGTTGAAAACAAAGAAGCATTTCTTATTTGCTCCCCATAGCCCATTACTGCTACAAAATGCAGTGAAAGAGAACTCTTGAGATATTTTCATACCAATGAGTTCTATGTTTAATAATTATGATTTGAATTTTACTTTTTCATAAAATGCAGAACACTCACGATACAGTGCATAATGTTGTACCACTCCATGTGACCCTCACCTGTTCAAAAATTGGTCAAGTCGGAAGTCAGTACCTATAACCCTAACTCAGTATTTGATTAGGATAGCTCTACAAATGAAAATGTCTGAAAAATACATTTGGTGTTGCGCGATGTTTATGAAAAGCACCGATTGTGTTTATGTGAATGCTGCTTTTCCGCTGACATCAATGAGAATTATTTTTTTGTGTTTATCAACATTCAACACTAATTTGTAACAGTGAATTTATTCATTTAACATGGTCCATTCATTGATTGCTGATTTGTATACAGTATCAAAAAGAAAACCCACGTCTAAGTGAAAATAAAAGACGAAACATGGTAAATGTAGACCCCCCATCCCCTCTTTACACATTCCAGCACTTCATCTACATTGTCAATTCCTGAAAGAGGAAAGAAAACAAGAGTTATATCCCACTCGTCACTGGAGGGCGCTGTATACATGAGTGATACAATGGAACTGAATTATATGCAGTAATTATTCAATGGTTTTTAATTTCGTTAAGCATTTCAAAAAGAGAACAAACAAATTTATATTAACACCATTAACCACTTTAAGAATTTGAAACAAAACATTTTTAACTCACCATAATAGCATTTACAATATCATTGGAATTATTTTTCAGTGCTTTAATAGCTTTAGCACGGCTAACATTGGCTTGGGACATCACAAGTTCTATATCTTTTGCTTCTACTCCCGTGTCGTCCACCTGAAAGATATCAAAATGAATGAATGAATCGAATCGGTGATGAACTCTAAGAAATGAGATGGACATATACAAAATGTAGTGTACTGCAGTGTTAAAACAGGTGATTATTCTAACAGAAATAGGAATTTCCAGCATTTGACAGCATCTCACAAGTTCAGATCGTTCTGAATCACGTGCCATTTTCCCCATTCAGCGCATATACCAAGCAAGACTATTTTACAAATGTTGTTGCTACTGTTTTTGTGCGTGTACATTTGTGACTTCTTGGCTATGAACATTATTTCTGAGCAGAGACAAATTTTAAGTAAATTTCTAGCGAGAAGAATATTATTACTGAGTTCTACCAATAAACAAGATTGAAATTTCATTCACAAACGACTGTCTAAAAAAGATCAATAAATGGTAAACAGGCGATTAATATGACAGTCCTTGTACGATTGTGAATAAAGCTGAAATCAGTCAGCCTGTTTGAGTTAGAGAACTTGACTGATGTATTAACTTTTGTGTAAAGTTTGATTTGATTCTGGAATGGCAGTCAAACTTGATTTGAATTGGCTTGCAAAACATTGGTCATTGGTTCATGGAAAAGCATTAGTTAAAACAGAATGGCCATCGTTCTAGTGTGTACAAAGACTGGTAAACATTTAGGCTTTCCATTTGACTGTGTTCAATTTTCCTTTGCACTGGTTAAAGACTCATTCACTGCAATAATTAATAAAACAATTCTTGTGTTTATTATTTTCTAGTAATTCAATATTCCCAAGATCGCAATAAAACTATAATCACTGCTCTCAGAGTGCATGAAGACCATAGCAGCAAGTAAATACACACAAAATTTTCTGCAAAAACAAATTCAGTGACTTGACCGCAATGTTCATACACAAAGATTTTGAAATACAATTGTTTACCAGCTCAGTCTACGATTGGTTTGTGCCGGGCGGATAAAAAAAAATCAAAAAAATCACGGCTTACCTCCTCTTCATCACTTTCTTCAGGTACTGTGGCTGTAACGGGAACTTCTGACACTCCCATGGATGCCGATCCCGCATCAGGAACTTTGAATTTCTCTGCCGCTGCCATCTGAGCAGCTTGTGTTAAATCTTCAATCTAATGAAAAAAACGGGAATTGTATTTTGTGAAATTATGTTTGTTATACACTAATTGCAACTGTCAATTGGTCTGCTTTATTGAAGGAGAAATTCTGAACGCCAGATATCTCAACAGTAAACCTGACATACCGTAAATTATTTTATTTTCACTTGAAATTTCATTCAGCTGAAGGAATGAATAAGTGAAATCAAAAAATCCATCAGGACACCCCCTAAACCCCCCTGCCACGCCAACCTGGTGTGAGTTTGTATGTAAAGTGATTGTGTTGGGTATGTAAACATTAAATAGCATACAGATATGCATTTAAGCTTCAGTACCAATTATAAATACAATACTATATGCAAATATGGCATGATATTTATGCATTTTTAATAAGGTCACATATATGAATGTTAATCTGCAATGTAGATGACAATACAGCCAAAAAACATTCGGGAAAAACCGAGCATCCTATTTGTCTTAAAGTTAAACTTTGCTAGATTTCATAATAATTTATTGGGGGACTATTATTTGAAGTATTTAATACTTTTAATACATGAATTATTCACGGGTTTTGAATTTTTAATGTTGCTAAATTAAATCCATGTAAACATGCAGAATAACAATAGAACTCGTTGTTTTCCTGCAAAGTTTGTGAACTTAAACCCAGTGAAATTACTCAAAACACAGTCTGAATTTATGCAGATTGTGGGAAATACACAAGATTCCAATTGTTGTTCTTTACAGCGTGTTCATGTGCTAGCAATAGTTTCCAATTTTCATTTAATTGCGTAATCAAATTTTGTTGGCGAAGGCTTTTAAACAGTGATCAAATGCGTGATCAAATTCAGGCCATAAAATCTTTTACAGTACCAAGACCTGGAACAAAGCTATAAATAGTCAAAAATGCTTTGATCCAGCAATGTATTTATGCTGCCATAGAAGATAATACTCACCTTTGCTTCACCAAATACAATAAATGTATCTGATGCAGGACTTTTATAAACGTCTGGTCTGGTAATTACAAATAAAATATTCTTTGATCGTCGTATTGTCACTCGACTCACTCCTGTAATACTCTTCAATCCAATCTTTGACATCGCTTTCCTGGCTTTTTTCTCTGATCTGCTTTGTTTCATTCTGCTTACTTGTTCCTCACTCACGCCCATCGACGCCGCCATCTGTAAAAAGTGAACTTGATTAGTTTGCACCAGCAAACTTAGACCCCAGGTGAAATCCTCCATTGAGTTTGAACATCATAAGGAAGTCAACCCCTACTCTGAGTAAGTGCGAGTAGTCTTTTCTTGGTGGACACTACACAATTTTTGAATTTCCCAAACTGAAATACAGTATTCAACCAGGAAATCGTTCCATTTCATGCCACTTAAAAACAACTGCAACATATTTTCTTACCTCGCTCCATTTTTCACTATGTGCTGCTGCCTGGCCAGCCGCTGCATCATCTTGCTCTAACTCCGGCACTGAATCATCACTATCTGACTCTGTGCCTGAACCTAAATATAAACAATTTTGGATATTTGTCAATTGGTTTCAAAGATCAGTTAACGTAAAAATATGCGTCCAAGACGGAGCATTTATAGTCTGTGAATGTACACAGATTCACACTGATCTAAAACTAACTAAAACGAATAAACTTTTTTGGGGGTCAATGAGTAACAAATTGAGAGGCATTACATAATACCGGCTAATATAAAAATATTTCTTTAATTTTTGTTTTGTTTTCAAAATGTTGGGTTCCTAAACAATAACAATAGTCAAAAATGTATTTTTGCGTTATGAAAACGTGGATGCAAATGTAAAATTCACTATATGCTGCGAGACGGCACTGATGTGTAACAGGGAGTGAATGGATTGATATACTCTGCCATTCCTCCTACTGTAAAATACTTTATTTTAAGCTGGACTTAATTTTCGCTGAAAAGTATTTTGTTCAGTTTATTTCCCCGGATTTTTGACAAGTTGAATGTAGAATATAGGAAAAAAAAGTATATTCGCTCAATTTTATTTTCACTAAAGCACCCCTTCAGCGAAAATAGTGAAAATAAAGTATTTTACAATATTCTGATGTAAAATATACTATTAATATCGTTGCGACCCATTTCAGTGACGTAAATGGGAGTTTCACAACAATATGTTTTGAACTCTGGTCATAAGTCAATAAATATCATTTTTATTAGCGATTAATTGTATTCTAATTTAATGATATGTGACTAAACAAGCAAGTTCTTGTCTATTTGAAAGAAATGATTTCTAGAAATCTCGACCCAAAACACTTAGACCCAAATTGGTCATCTCGACCCAGACACCCTGGACATCTCAACCCACCGGATCGACGCGACCCTATCTCAATGTGGCGACGCAAACCTCTATCTAGTTCAATGTTGATCGACATCTATTGATTTGAAACACCAGCTACAGAGAGCAATACAAACATGATTTAAACTTGTCTATTCCGGTGTTTTTTTTCTCTTGCCATCATATTCAGTATACGGAAATAGCATGTGTGTATGTGCGTTTGCGTGAGCGAAAAAGGCTGGTGAGACCGTGTCACAACGTGTTCTATTTATTTCCAACACGCATGGTCGGCGTCTTTGATTGCATTTATTTTGGGTTTTTTATTCGCGAAATATATCACTGGCAGCGTTTGTTTTGTCATGTATCACAACTGAATGTCCAAGCTGACTTTGTTTTGGCTATAGATGTAGGTGGGTCGAGTTGTCCAATGCAAAATGGGTCAAGATTTTTTGGGGTCGAGAGGTCCAGTACCCGAAAGAAATTGCTTATTCGCCAATCAATATCATCATAACACTACACCCCAATTGGGAAATAAATTGGCAGAGCTCCAGAAGGAGTACCTACACTTTATGCAAATTTTTAAAAATTATGCTAATTTATTCATGACGTAGCAGTTTCTGTGCTCATGAATATTCATTAATTTGTGGCTCAATACATTTTAAAAGGGGCGATATATTATTTTTGGGGGAAGAGTTAGAAAGGGGGATTAGCAATCCTTAGGGGGTCAATACAAAAGAAGGGACCCATTTGGAGAGCAGCCATGCTCCTCGTGTCTGTTGTTGCACGTGACCTACAGCTGTCAACTGTGTTCGTTCTTCGACTGTGTTCGTTCTTCGACGACTTCGGCTGGCTTCCACGTGGGGTAGTATTCTTGTGTTCTGTTTTCCTGACTTGAGTTTTTGAATCCACTGTTTATGTTTTTAACGTCTTTCATGTCTTTTGTAGGAGTGTCCAATCCGTGATTCGAACTTGCGATCTTTTAGTTCCCAGCGCACTGTCTTGTCCACTGTACCACGAGTGTCTTCACACAGGAGTTAGGA